GTCCCGGTGTGCGGCATGGGCCGCAGGGCTGGATAGCCCCCCCGCTGCGCAGCGGGGCGCCTGCCTGCCTGGCTGCCTGCCAGCCTGCCAGCCAGCCAGCCTGCCTGCCTGCCGGCCAACCTTCCTGCCTGCCTGCCCGCCCGCGCGCCCACCCACCCTGCTCGTGCAGCGCGTGGAAGGCCTGGCGCATGGGCAGGTCGATGTCAAGCAGCACCACCTTGCCGCTCTCGGGGATCAGCTCGTAGGCTGCGGGGCAGGGCGGCGGGGGGCAGGACGAGCACGGGGGTGGGGAGCGGGGCAGAGGAGAGCAGGGGGCAGCAGAGTGGCAACAGCAGGGGGGCAGCTGGAGCACGACGCTGCTGTTCATCTGTTCACACCAGCCTCCACGTCATGCCCTGCCCCGCCCGCCCCGCCTCGCGCCTGTGTGGTGGTTCAGGAAGTCCCCCACTTTCTTCTTGGTGTGCGCCGGCTCGTCGGCCTGAACCGCAATGGGAGCAATGACGCCGCCCGAGGCGGTGCTGCCGCCGCCGCCGCCGCCGCTGGGGTCCCCGCTCGCCACATCCATGTCTGCCACTGCAGCAGCCGGCCGCGCGGGAAAAGCCAGTCGGATAAGCCAGGGGACGGATCAGGGCGGGGCATCCGAGGGGCAGAAACAGGCGCCAGGGACGCGCGTCAGGGGCAGGGAATGATTTGCAGGCGGGTAGGCCGCCCCGCGGAAGCACAAGCGGGGCCCGCGGCCGCACCGGACTGCGCGCGCGAGGATGGCGCCGTGCCGCCGTGCCCCGCCAGCTGGTGGTGCAGCATGCTGGGCTGCTGCGGCTGGTGGTGGCTGTGCTGCGGGTGCGCCGCGTGCTGCTGCTGGTGCTGCTGCTGGCTGTGCTGCTGCAGGCTCTGGTGCAGGCCGCCGCTGGTGTTGTGACTGCAGCAAGCACAGCAGGCAGCACACCAGCGACATGAGCTGCCCGGGCTGGCCACATGTGCACGCATTTGCCGCACCGCGCTGCTACCCATGTTCCAGTATCCAGCCATGCTGCACCCCTCCGGGGGCCCGCCCCCTGCATAGCCAAACACGAAGCTGGTGCATATGCACGCACAGGCGCCCATACGCTTCCCCGGGTTGCTGCGCACCTGTGCCCCGCCGCCGCCGGCGCTGCCTGCCCTTCTGGCTTGCGCACAAACAGCCAGTTGTTCACATTCCCCAACGGATCCGGCATGAACGGCTGGCTCTCGTCGTGCCGCCACTCGCCATCAACAATGAACTTGTATTGGTGATACCTGCGAGCAAAGCGAGGGGGCAGGGCCTCTGGCGGCGCGTTTGTGGGCCGTGCCAGTGCCGGGCGCGTGCAGGCATGCTGCAGGATGGGTGCAGGCTGGCTGGGCATCTGGGCATCAGAGCCAGAGGGTGGATGCAGTGCCTGAAACCACGACTGCGCATGCTGCTGTGGGCAGGTCGCTCGGCTGCTGCTGCTGCTCCGGCCGCCGCTCACCCTGGCGGCAGGTGCACCACCACTGTGAAGGTGCCGGGCTGCCCCTCCACCGTCGTCATCGGCACGGTCTCCACCCATCGTGTGAACGACCCGCACAGGTGCACCTGCAGCGGCAGCAAATTGCCAGGGTAGGGGACGCGCGAGACTGTCGGCCCAGCCCTCGGCGGGGGATGTCGCGCCGCTTCTGCAGCAGCTGGATGCCATGCCTGCCCTGCACAGAAGCCTCTCCCCGGCGCAGCCTGGTGCATTGCTGCCGCACCTGGTTGCCGCCAAAGCGCCAGACGAACTTGGTGGGCACGAAATACTGTGCCATTGCCCCTGACTGTCCTCCTGCCTACGATGCGCGGGCCATCGGGCGCCCCAAGTGAACTGCCCGCTCCTGATGCGGAAGTGAACTGTCGGAGGGCCGTCAGGCGCAGAGAACGGTGCGCTGAGGGTTGATCAAAGTCAGCGTAAGGCAGCGATTGTGATGACCGTCCTGGTCCATGCACCACAAGCACCGCCCAGCGGGGGACAGCGGGCGAGGCGGGGTGGGGGCTGAATTGCCGGCGAGGGGGCCGCTACCCATGAGGAGCATGGCGCATGTGGTGGCTGGTTGTGTGGAGCACATATGGATGAGCATAATTGGGGGAGGCGAGGAGTCAGCCCTGCCTTTGGCAGGGCTGCGACCTGTCGGCACACCCCACAAGCTGGTGGTCAGCGAGCGCTGGGCTGCATGCACCGACTGGCAATCATCATGCCTGGCATTACACATCGGGATTGTGTTGTGAGAACATCAAGTGGGACAAGCAACACAGGCGCCGCCAGGCAGATGTAGCCCTGTCTTGGGCAGTGTGGCATTCATTGATGGCAGAAAACTGAAGGGCGTGAAAATTTGGTGGCATGCGCTGAAGCAAGGAACAAGTTTGGATAGGGGAAGACATGAACTGGTATTGCAGTATCTGTTCATCAAATCCATGATGGTGGGGCGAGCTGCAGCTCAACAGCTGCCTGAGAGCCGGAGGCATGATGGGGGTGGCTGCCTAATCAGCTAACCAAGCCCAGCCAGGAACACTGTGGGGGCCACAGCCGCCTGCACCTGGGCAACACGGTACCAGCGCCCGCCTGGTGGCGTGATGGTCACCCTGCAGGCCCAGCCGGCAGCATGGCTCACACTCAAGTCGGGAGGACCAGCAGCGCAGCATGCCTGGCACCCCACCCACAAACCCCTGAGCAAAGTACCCACCTGCGTGCTGTGTCCGAGAAGCTGATGTTGCCCGTCGTGGCATCACCCTTCTTCACGCTCCACGCCAGCACATCCAACCGCCGTGTGCCGCCAGTTGTGACATTCTGCAGGCGAGGAAGATGCTGGCAGGCCTCAACTCTCCACTCCACAACGGGCAGATGCAGGACGCCCCGCGCTCGCCGCGCACGCCGGCTGGCCTCCTGGGATGGCACAGCCAGGCGGGCAGCGCTGCCAGCGGTGCACACACCTGCCACCAGATCTTGAGGTCGGCATACGCCTGCGGCCGCAACCAGAAGCGCACCGTAGGCGAGTACATGGCCGCCACCGCCTGCGGCACCGTGGGCAGGAAGCCCGAGCGCGCGGCAAAGTACTGGTTCGCCCTGGACGTGGCTGCTGGTGTTGCCGGGAAGGGCCCCGCCCAGGCGGAGGCGTTGAACCACTTGGCGGTGGGGCCTAGGGGGCCTGCGGCATGCAGCGTGGGGAGCAGCGCACATCACAACGGGAAGCCAACCCATTGACACTGGGATGGCACCCAGACCCCAGAGTGCGAGCAGCACAGCAACGCCTGGTGGCGTGGGCCCAGAGCCAGCCGCTGCCACATGAGGCGCGGCGCGGCACGCGCGGGCAGCGGAGCGCACCAAAGAAGAAGCCCCGGGCATCGCAGCGGAACGTTGTGACGCCTGGCACCAGGTCCACGCGATGGCTGCGGCCCAGGTCCGAGGCGCTGACATCCAGGAAGTGGCGGCCCGGCCAGGCCAGCGGGTCGGTGGGCTGCATGCCCGGCGGCAGGCGCAGGGTGGGCGAGCCGTCGAGCGTGTAGGGCGCCCAGCTGCAGGCAGGGGCAGGGGCCAGCGCGGGGGCAAGTAAGCTGGTGTGGTGCTGAAGAGGTGCACAGGGTAGGCAGGGCACGGGAGCCGGGCCAGCAGGCGCAGGCTCATGGCAGCTGCCGACCTGACGGTGCTGGCGAGGCTGGAGGCGTTGAAGGTGAAGGAGGCTGCCCAGCGGGTGCCCTTGCTCTCCAGAGCCTTGGCCTGCGGCATGGGGACAGCCAGCCAAGGGATGAGCGGCTGGCGGGCATGTGCTTGGGAACCTCCCTGCTGCGGCAGGGTGCATGCCACACGTCCCGCATCTCATCTCATCCACACCTGCTGCGTGGCGCCGGCAAAGGCCGTGCCATCAAAGGCCCAGGCGGGCATGAAGCCCGGCACAAACTCGTTGTTGGGGTTGTAGCTGACTGCCGCGGTGTACCCTGGGTCGGGGCCGCTGCGGCTCGTTGCCCTGCCCAGCGCGCTCAACGCACCTGCGGGGCAGGCGCCACACGCATGTGCAGCGTCATGCGCCAAGCCGGCCGCTGCGCTGATCAGGAGGGCAGCCAGCGAGTGTGGGTGCAGCAGCGGAAGGCAGGCAGGCAGGCAGGCGGAGGGTGAGGCACAGTGCCCGCGAGGCGGCGGCGTGTACCTGCCGGCACCATGCCCGCCGACTCGGCATCCATGTGCAGCAGGGAGAGGCTGTCTGACAGCAGGGCCGCGTCGGGGCGCAGCCACAGCGAGTCGTAGGTCAGCACAGAGTTGGACCAGACGTCGGCCTGCGCACCAGAGGCGCAGCAAGGAAGGTGTGTGCGTGTGTTTGCAGGGGAGGCGAAGGGTACACAGGCATGGCGGACGAAAGCCGGGATCGCTCTATGAGAGGGATGCATGCAATCCAACCACCGCAGCCTCTGCCGCCCGCCCCCATGCTGCTCACCGCGTTGGCCCCTGCGGTGCCGCCCGGCACGCCGTCCTTCACGAGCAGCCGGTACCAGAAGCTCTGGGGCAGCAGCTTGGCGATGCTTTTGGTGCTGCTGCTGCTGCCCTGACTGACAGTGGGGGAGGAGAATCGGGAGAGGGAGTGGAGGTGGCGCAGCCACTGGTGCCATGCGGCCTCCGCCGCAAGCGCAGGCGGCAGCGAGGTGCTTGGGGGTGGCCGTGGAAGCGGCGGGCGAGGGCTGGGAGGCGGCCGGGGAGGCTTGGGCTTGGGCGGAGGCCGAGGTCGTGGGCGTGGTGGAGGCCTGGGTTGAGGCGGCTTCGGTCTTGGGGGAGGCTCGGGTTTGGGGGAGGGTGGTCGTGGGCGTGGCGGCGGACGTGGCGGCGGCAGCGCGAGGAGGCGGCGCTGCCTGGAAGTGGTGCGCGTGTCCAACTGCACGGCCGCCGCCGATCCTGCAGCATTGGCAGGCACTCGTGGACTCGGCCACAGCACAGCCGAAGGCAGAGCAGCGAAATGCGCACGCTGCCAACAAACCTGCAAGTGCGACGGCCAGCGCCAGGCATACTGCTCCTAGCAGAGCTCTCATCTCTGCTGCACTGGCTGATATCAGTGCTGCTTAGGTCGGCATGGCAGCTGCACCCCGCGGCCCGCTTCCTCGTTCCTCAGAACACCATTTGCGGGGCCACAGAAGATTGCAATCTGCGCTGTGGTGCAAGTAGAGCTGCAGATGAGCTGCATGAGAAGCTGGGTGCTGCGGTACCTGGGAGGCAGTGCAGTTGCAATGCCCCGCGGCCGCTGTGGTGCGAGAGCACAATACTTGCGCCAGCACCTCCAGCCACAGCCACAGTCCGGCCCAATCTTCAGGTGAAAGTGAGGTGGTTCGCTTAAATTCATGTGGCACCGCGTCACGAGCATAAATGAAGGAGAGGGGCGAAGGTCGGGCAACAGGTTGGGGGAAACGGGACACTTCAGGCACTTATTCAACGGAGGCGCTCAAGGCACTCACAGCAGGACAGCGAAACACTCGGGAAGAAAGGGACAGTAGGTTGGAGGCGGTGAAATGCAGAGGCATGGCAAGCAGCGAGATGGGCGGCGGGAGCGCAGGAGCGGCAAAGGGGTGCGGTCCTGAAGCGTAGGCCACATGCACATGACGCGACACCCTTCTCTGAGGGCTCTCGAGAAGCATGGGGAGTGTGGGAAAATCGAGAGGCAAGAGGAAAGGTGGAGAATGGGGGGGTCGGGTCGAAGGGAGGGAACGCCAACGATGCCTCAGGTTCGGTGGAACACAAGGGTCAGTCCGGAGCCATGGAGGAGAGTGAATAATGGGTGGGTCAAAGCTGCTTTGACAGGTTAGGAGGAGGAGGGAAGTACTGGAGGAGACAGAGCGGCATGGAAAGAATGGCTGCTAAGCCAGCCAGCTGGGGTTGGTGGGTGATGCCACGTGCCGGCTGCAGAGGGCAGAAAATGATGGGCGCGTGCCCCAGACCATTCATGCATTGCGGGTGCATGCGGGCAACCCGGGGTGCGGGGCAGGCCGGCATCAAATGGAAAGAAGAAGTGCAGTTCTTGGGCAGTAATGTAGCGGAACTGGGAGGGGATGGGGGATGGCGCTTCTACAAGAGTGTGGGTGGGCTCGTCGGGCAAGCCCGGCAGGACCTGTGGAAGGCCTAACACCAATCCAGACGGACAGCCATGTCTCCGGTCGCCTTGCCTTGCCCGTCCCCATCAATGGCGTTGAAGCCAAGAGGGTCCATGTCGACACCTCCTTGGCCACACCTGAAGAGAGGGGAGTGAAGGAAGAGAGAAGGTGAAGGACAGAAAGGGGTGAGTGGACTGGTCGGATCACACCCATAGCCGCGCCAGCCCCGGCTGCACACATGCGCTGCGATGAGGTGGAGGCGCTGCCTGGACTCTGCGGCAATGCTTGCGCGAGTGCGCCCAGTCAGCCCAGCCCCAGCCCAGCCAGCCCCAGCCCGGCACTACTCACATGTCCACAACGCGCGTCTTGACCGACTGGCCGGTGGCGGTGTTGGTGACCTTGAGGCACTTGCCGCACTTGTCCTGGCTCATGGGACCCAGACCGTCGTCATTGCAGTAGGCGGTCCAGGGGTACTGTAGGAGCCAGTGGTCGGAGCTGACGGGCTGCAGGCGGGAGGCGGGCGGGGGCAGGGAAGCACTCTGGTCAGCAGGCAGGCCAGCGCGGTGCAGCTGCTGGCTAGCTGGCTGGCAGCGCCGGTGCAGGCAGCGCCGGTGGCTGGCAGCGCCGGTGCAGGCAGCGCCTCATTTCCCGCGTGGCATCGGGCCCTGTGCTGCCGCAGCACTGGAAGGCAGCCCAGGCTCACCAGGAACTTGTTGAACTGGTCAGCGCAGTAGAGGGAGGAGGTCTCGTAGCCAGGAGCGTAGTCTGCACGGGGCGGTCAGTACAAGTGCGGCAGCCCGTCAGCACCAGGCAGCGAGCGGAGCAGCTGGCCGCGCTGGCCGCCATTGCCAGCCCTGCCAGGTTGCGCAGTCCAGCAGGCGGGCAGCCCCGCAAGCAAGGCAGCCCAGCAGGCACAGGCGCCTCACAGTGGTAGGTGGCGCGGGCAACGGGGCCGCTGCCGCCCTGACCAGTTTCCATGCCCCAGATGACGCCGTCGCCCCTGTTGCTGTTGCCGTAGCTGCCCCCGCTGGTGGAGGCGGCGGCCACCTCCTCGTCACCGCCGTCGGAGCTCTCCTCCTTCTTGCTCTTCTTCTTGTTGTCGTCGTCATCGTCCTGCTCCTTCTCCTCCTCCTCCTGCGCCGCCTCCTCGGCCTCCTTGCGGGCCTTCTTCTCAGCCTTCTTGGCCGCCTTGCGCGCCTCCTTCTCAGAATCCCGCGCCTCCTTCTCCAGCGCCTCCTGCTCCGCCTCCTGCGCGCCATCCCGCTTGGCGTTGTCTGCCCGCTCCCGGACCTGGTCAGCAAGCTGCTCGGCCTCGCGAATCTTTTGCTCCTTGGCTGCCTTGGCTGCCTTTTTGGCCTCCTTGGCTGCCTGCTTGCTGATCTCCGCGGTGCCCTCTGCCACTAGCTCGGCCAGCTCGGCCTGCTGCGCTGCCAGCTGGGCCGCCTCGCGCTCGGCCTGGTCCTGCTCATCCTTGGTGTTGCCCTTCTTCTTCTTCTTCAGCAGCACACGGCGGCTGCCGGAGGGCTGGCCGAAGCTGAGGCCGCGGGCCTCCACCGGCACAGTGGACAGGTGGCACAGGGCCGCCAGGGCGAGGAGGAGAAGGTGAAGAGCGGTGAGACGCATGGTGGCCTGGAGGTGGGGAAGGGGAGGTGGGCGGGAGGGTGGGTGAGCAGGTGGGTGTGTGGCGGCACGGAGGGTGTGTGGGAGGGCGCCCAAGACTGCGGTGCCGCCAATAAATCCCTATTGTGGTCAGGGCATGCTGAATGGGGGCTGCTGAGCCAGTGGGCGACCCGTGCGCGCGCAGCGGCGGGAAAGTGCCTGCCAAGGGACTGTCAGGCATTCCAGCCCACCATGCCAGGGCCTCTGGCGGCGCCAACTGCACATGCAACCGGCCTGTCTCACCGTTTTGCACAGTCAGGAGCAAGTGGGCGGCTCTGACGTGCTCTTGTGGTGATGGGTAGGACTGAAGCGGTCCAGACGGTTTCTGCGCTGGCGGTTCTGCTAGGCCAATTGTGCTCGGTCAATGCAGAAACAGTCAGGACAGCCGCTTGCAAGCGCGCCGAGGCCCTTGGCCATGCAACCTTTTGCACTGGTCGGGCTCGCGAGCACCTGTGTCAGTCAGGAGCAGGTCCCACACAAGCACTACGAATCAGAGCCCCCCCCGTGCTCTTTCTGTGGTCTACCCAAGTATACATCATCATATAGCGGGTGGATGGGCTTTGTGGGCTCCGCCATGCCTTCGACATGTGCTGCTGGTGGCTTGGGGGGATAGGCAGTTGGGGCCCTGCAAGCATGCCATGACGAATACGGAAAACATGGCCCACTGTTTTGCAGCGCAGAAGCCGGTCGGGGCTGTGCCATCAACACTTTTGAAGTTTGCGCGCGCTGCACGCTCGCACTCCAGTAGTCCATAATTGACGTCTTTCGGCCGTTAGCCGGCCGCAATTGGTACTGAGAAACTTCACATGATCCTGCACCTGCAAGCTACTGCAGCAGCTTACATAGCCTGTGGCCAGGATGTCTGCCGCATGCTTGCAAAGCCCTCAGAAAGCAGTCAGCAGCGTGCCATCGCGCCTATGCATCAATCACCACCCCGCCGCCGCCTCCTGCATGATGCATCATGCGCCGCCACCCAGCCGCCGCCCAGCCACCAGCGCGTTCGCGTCGAGCCGGCAGCTGGGCGGTGTGAACTGCGCCTCTCTAGCGATGCTCGCATACAGCTGGGGATGCAGGAAACATCACTCCCTACCAGGCATAGGCGTTCGGCTTGATTGCATCCTCCGTGCAACAAGTGGACAGTTTACCCTTGTCGGTGGCTTGGTACACTCAGGCACGCGAGCACCCCGGCTGTTGCCTTGGCGGTTTGGGGTCAGCCCGCGCCAAGCTATACAACTGTTGCGAGCCATTTGCGCTCAACGCACGCTGCTGCTGCTGTCTACGCCTGATTCCGCAGAAGGCGCTAGCCACCCGCCACCTGGAGGCACTGCGCCGGCGTCCCGCCTCGGTGCTGGACCCCATCCCCTGTACCTACACAACCCCGCATTCTCCAGCTGCACAGCACCGATGCTTCTGGGGGGCACCTGGGACTCCAAATTGTGCACAGCATGTGTCGGCGCCGACACGGTGTACCCCGTCTCTGCTGTGCGCGCCGCGCCGCATTCTGGCATTGGCTCAGGCTTAGTGCCGTACGCACCCAAGGTTTCCGAATCTCCCTCTCCCTCTCCCTCAGTCTGTTTCCACATGGAGCAGCGGAGCATGCTGCAGCCATGATTGTTCGTTCCGCAACGTTCCGCGATTCACCGCGGCTGATTGGCCCACCCACCTGGCTGGGCGCCCGCCCCAGCCTGAGCAGGGCGTGGCGCCGGTGCGCCTGTCGAGTGGCCTGTGGGCCCCACAATGTGGGGCGGCCTGGACCCGCAGCAGCCCCGCCCTTCCCTGGAGCAGGTGCTGCAGGTGAGCACACCAGCGTGAATGAAGGGTGGCTGGACACTCGGCAGCGCCGGGAGAGCCCTACAGCGCTACCTGTGTGTGTTCTCGCCGCTGTCATGCGCTCTGTTCAGGCTGCGCTTGTTTCCTTGAAGGATTCTTGCCCTCTTTTCGCATCCGCAGATAGCGGTTGGCAAAACGGAGCCAACCACGCAGAGAAGGGCTGCGGCGGCAGCCGTTGGTTAATAACATCCTTGCTGATGTCCTTGTCAATTTTCTCAAAACCGTCTTGCACAGTCCATGGGTGCCCAGAAGAGGGCAAGAATCCTTGTTTCCTGAAGGATTCTTGCCTACCTTGATGTCTTGGTCCAGTTTGTTGAACCCGTCCTGCACGGTTTGCGGGCGGGGAACTCTTTTCCCACCCGAGTGGGAAACTCTTTGGGAAAACTCTGGGAAACCCTTGCTGCTGCTCTGCTGCCGCTGCAGGCGCGGTTGACGCCCATCTTTGCGTCAGTGGTGGGGACAGTCCTGACGTTCGCAGTGCAGCTGGCGGCCATCCTGGGCTGCGTGTTCATCATTCTCATGCACTTCAAGATGGGATAGAGCGGCCTCGCTGGGGATCCCACCAGCCACAATAGCCAGCACTGTTTTTTTGCTCCTCCTTCCTTCTCTTTCCTTCTCCACATGTCATTCCTGCATTGCACGTGTACACATCTGCATTCGCTTTCGCTGCATGCCAATCGGTGCTTTCTGATCTTCTTTTCTCTTACTTGAACGTAAGAATAACAATTGTTAACAATTGTTTTCTCTGCATGTTCAGACACAATATGTACACAATACGTGCCAGCAAGAAAGAGGGACGCGGTGCACGCAGTGAATTGAAGGCGGCAAAGACATGGTGGAGTTGCGGGTGTGGGCGCCAGCCACCCGTCGATCAGGCCTGCCATCCTTCAGCCCATGTGGAAGCTGCCTCCCAGCCCATTGCTTGCGAGGAGGCGCACAGCATCGCATTGGTTGCCCTCCTGCTGGCTGGGAGAAGGACACCGCTTGCTGCTTCACCCAACCCCAGCCTGCTTGCCAGCGCTGCCATCGGCGCCTTGCAGCCAGGCAGTAGCCCACCGCAAACTGTCTTTTCAATCTACCGCCTCACCACGCCAGGCTGCGCTCCGCCTCCTGCTTGGCCTCCAGCGCTGCAGCAGGTGCGCATTCCAATTGGCGTCCAACACGGTGCAGGGCCCTCCGCCCAAGCTGCGCTGGCTGCCTCTGCCTGGGTGCGTCATTGAGGCAGCGCTGATTGTCGCTGTGATGCGTGATAGAGAGGACTCCCATATCAGGCGCAGGATGCGAATGGATTGAGGCGGTAGTGCATACATGTGAGGCGTGTGCATGAGCGCATTGGAAACAAAAGCGCGGCAGCAGTGCTGCACTCGACAGCTGCCATGCAAGGGCACGAGACCTCAGAAGCTGTTCTGCGCTGATGGCGCCAAAATCAGAAGCCGCTGCCAAAGGCCTCGGGCAGGTTGGCAGCCGCAGCACGCTCCTCTGGCACCGGGTCCAGGTGGCCCAGGTGCTGGCTGCCGTCCAGCTCCATGCTGCGCCTGCTGTGCATGCTGCCACCATACCGCGAGTCGTACTGCGGTCCAGGCGGCGGTCAGCGCGTGCGGGATGAGGCGTGGCCGAGCCCAGCAGCGGGTTGGCCCCCGGCCGCCACACCCATCACACTCTCGTTCCGCCCCGCCCCACCCCTGCGCTCCCCGGCTGCCTTCTGCCTCCCCCAGGCTGCAGGCCCTGCCTGCCTCCCAGCCAGGCAGGCAGGCCCCCAGCTGCACCCCCACCTGGTCCAGCGCATCCAAGGAGTCGTAGGATCCCACCCGCACCATGCGCAGGAACCCCTCAAAGTCCACCTCATCCGCATCTGCGTGGGACCAGCAGGGGCGGCGTGGCAGGGGGTGGGGTCGCGCCAGGGGCGGGGCAGGGGTGGCAAAGAGCCAAGGGCAGAGGTGCTCCCATGGCACCAGCAACACGAGATACGAGGTCGGCAGCAGCGGGCGGCCCCGGCCTCCCGCTGCTGCCTCCCTGCCCGCCTCCCTGCCCGCTCACCCGCATACCCCGCCTCCACCAGCGCATCCTCCACAGCATAGTCCACCTCTGCGGCGGGCAGCTTGGCCCGCAGGCTGCCGATCAGCGCCTCCACCGACAGCCGGCCGTCCGAGTCGGCATTCAGCCCCGCAAACGCGCGGCGCGCGCACTCCAGCCACAGCTCCCTGCGGGGCAGGGCGGGACCGGCGCGCGGTGGGCGGGCGGCGCAGCGCTGGCCAGAGCAGGCAGGGGCGGTCCCGGGGCTCGGCCTGGGAGGCAGGTGGGCAGGGCGCCGCTTGGGGCCCTGTGGCGCGCGGCTGGGCTGGGGCGGGGAGGGCTGGCCGGGACGGCAGGAGAGGCGCAGCAGAGGGGCGGCTGCTGGCCGGGGTGTCCTCCCGGCCTCTGTGCCGGCAGCGCTCGGGCCTGCCTGCCCCCACCTGTTGCTCTCCTGCAGCGCCGCCCAGTCCATCTGGCTGGCCACAAATTCTGGCGCCATGACCTGGCAGGGCAGCGGGGGCGGCTGGGGGACAGCGACAGTCAGGTAGGCGACAGGCAGGTAGGCGACAGGCAGGCAGCCAGAGTCGAGGCACGCCCAGGCGGAGGTGCAAACCAGAGCGTAGGCCGGTCCGCAGGCTGCCGGCCCTTCAACCCCCGCAGCTGCTCCCCGCCTGCTGACACCACACCCCCATACACACACACAACGTGCACACGGCGTGCCCCTGGCTGCCCTTGCCCACCCCACCTGGCCGTCTGCATTCAGGTCCAGCTGCTGCATGAGGATGGCCACCTCCGATGGCTCCAGGTCATACCCCAGCAGCCGCAGGCCCTCGCTCATCTCGCCTGCACAAGGCCGCGTGCGCGTGTGTGGGTACGTGGTGTGTTCCAGCGGGGTGTGGGGACAGGCGCCTGGGCAGGGGGTGGTGCAGCTGGAGGCGCGGCGGCGCAGGGCGCTGGGCCAGCAGGCTGGGGCAGGCCAGGCGCACCAGGCCCCAGCCCCTTGTTGCTGCGGAAGTGCATCCTGCGCATCAGCTGCTCCAGGTCTTTGGGGTCGGTGACGGCGCCCTGGGGCCCCGTGGCGCCGCCGCCGCCGCCGCCGCCGCCTGGCGCAGCCTCCGCCGCCGCCGCCGCCGCGAAGCTGGCGAGCGTCTGCTGCTGCTGCTGCTGCTGCTGCTGCTGCTGCTGCTGCTGCTGCGGGCGCAAGTCTACAGACATTGGCATGGGCGGGGGCTGGGGCGGCGGGCCGGGCGCGGCGCCCACCGCAAAGCTGACGTGCTTGGAGGAGCGGGGCGGCGGCGGCGAGCTGGCAAAGAGGCCTGCCGACGTCATGCCCGCTAGCATCTCCGACCCTGCTGACCGCTCGTCGACTGGCGGCAGCCCCCCCGCCGCGCGCCCCGGCTCCCCAGACAGGCGCTCCAGCAAAGCCTTTGCCGCCCCGCGGCCCCGCCCTCGCTCCTCTGCCACCGGCGAGCCGCCGGCCATGCCAGCTGCGGCAGAGTCGCCCGTCGCCGGCGGCGAGGCTGCCGCGCCGTCGGCTGCTGCTGCTGCTGCCGCGGCGGCAGAGTCTGGAGACATCTGGGGCCAGCCCGCTGCCCCGCTGCCCTGCTGCTGCAGCTGCTGCTGTGGCGGCGGCAGCAGCGGGGCCCGCGGCGGCGCCGACGTGGCGGCGGCCCCCGCCTGCCGCTCCCCGACCAGCGGCAGGCTGCCCACAGACTTGGTTGGGCGGAAGGAGGAGGAGGATAGCTGCAGGCAGCGGGTGCAGATCAGAGACGGCGGCGATTGAGAGCATGGTGCAGGAACAGCTGTCAGAGGGCAAGGGCCGGGTGCCTGGTGCCCACCCCTCGGCCAATGTGGGTGGCACGACAGTCGACGGCCTTGACGCCGAAGCACACCCCGCACCTTGTGCTTGTAATCGATTGTCTCCAGCTGGCGCAGCAGGCGCGCGTACTCGTCGCCGCCGTGGGCTGCAGCGGGGGGCGGGGCAGGTGAGGGGTTGCGCACAGGCGCTGGCACACAGGCGCCAGGCGCGGCAGCACAGGAGCGCAGCGGCACAGGAGCGCGGCGGTGGCTGCGGCTGCGGGCGGCTGCGAACCAGAGGTGTCCAGCGACAGGCGTGCCGCCTTGCGCGCCGCGCTGCGCTCCTCCTCGCTGCGCGACGCGACACGCAGGTAGTCCGCCTTGCCGTGCCCCGACTCTGCGCTAGGGGCAGCGGCGGCGGCGGCGGCGGCGGCGTGCAAGTTGTGTGCCTCTGCATTCTGTGTGGGTGGTGCTTTTGTTGTGGTTGTGTGGTGGTGGAGGAGGTGGTGGTGGTGTGGTGGCCGTGGTGCAAGCGTGGGGTGGGGGGTGGGGGCAGCGTGCCGCCGACCGGCAGGCCACAGCGCGTCGGCGGGCCACAGTGTGCACGCCAGGCGCAGCGCCCCAGACCTCTCCCACCCACCCATGGCCGCCAGCTCGGAGGCCTGGCGCAGCACCCTCCAGTACTCTCCAGGACCGTGCACCGAGGCAGAGCCGCGCTGCCGCTCGCTGCCACGCGCCTGCAGCCCAGCAGCAGCAGCAGCAGCCAGGGGGGTCGCGGGGCAGGGCCCTGGCAGCAGGAGAGGCTGGTGGCATGTCCGCACAGCGCGGCAGGCCTGGGCAGTGCTTGAACGGCTGGTGAGCACCCCCCGCACCAGGCAGGTCCACCCACCAGGAGCGCCAGCTGCTGCGTGGAGGGCGACCGCGCAAAGCAGCGGCCGCCGTGCACGCTGCCGGCTGCCCGGCCTTGCGAGGCCATGCGTGTCAGCAGGCTCTGCAGGCAGGCCGGGAGGGCAGGTTGGTGGGAGCAGGCTGTGAGCAAGCGCCGTGGCGGCCAGCGGGTTTGCATGTGCATGCAGGCAGGGGAACACGGCGAGAGGCAGGACGAGGCCGGTGCAGGGGCTGCGCTGCTGCTGCCCTCAGCAGCGCCAGCGGCGCAGCCCCACCCTAAAGGCCTCCGCCCCCTCGCTGCTGGAGGCGCCTTGGTTGCTGTCCGAGCTGTTGCGGTGGCGCTGGCGGGCGAGCTCGGAGATGCTGCGGGGCGGGCAGGGCGGAGGGCAGGCGGGTGTAGGGCAGGCCAGGGGCAGGGAGGCAGACGGGCTAGGCAGGGCTGGCAAGCGGGTGGGGTGGGCAGCCAGCGGTTGACACAAGGCAGGCCCAGCACAGGCAACCGGCCGAGCATAGGGGAACTGCAAGGCAGCAAGGCAGGGCTGGGGCAGAGAGTGCTCACTTGACAGACGCGCTGCGTGCCCCCAAGCCTGACGAGGGCAGGGCCCCTGGGGAGCCCACCTGCACGGCACGGCACATCACACAACACTCACGCACACCTGCTTGGTGCATGTCTGCCCGACCAGGGCAGCCAGGGGCGCCTGCCTGCACACCGGCCAGGCCAGGCAGCACAGCAGGCAGCCAGGCCAGGGGCGGCAGCCGGGCGGCGGCGGCGGCGGCGCGGCGCACCATGAATGCAAAGCCGCCCGCGCCGCTGCCCTGGCTGTCGGGGCTCATGGGGAACTGCGTGTCGCCGCCCTGCCCCTGGCTGCCCGCCCGCGGGGTGGAGTCGCTGCCATCGCTGGGGGCCTGCACCTGCGTGGCAGCTGCCATGTAGCTGCAAGGAGGCCCAGGCGAGCGGGGAGGTGGGCGGGTGAGTGGCGAGCACAAGGCAGCATGGCGCTGGGGCGCACCAGGCGGGCGAGCGACAGCTGAGGGGTGCACCAGGCGGCGCAGGCGTGGGGGGCAGCGAGGCAGGCTGGGGGGCGAGAGAGCGCACCCATG